CCCAGCCCTCCCCTCGTCTCCCTTCCCCTCCGCTCCTCCGCTGAGAATCCTGGAGGAATACACAATTCATCGTAGCACCCCCACCTCAGAGTGTAATCGCATTTCTGCTTGGTAGAGGCGGGGCCCAGCAAAGGTGGGCTCCTTTTGAATGTGTGGTCAGCATCTGTACAAATGCATTTTATTTGCTATAGTTTGTAAAGCTGTAAAGTTAAAAGAGATGAAAACCTTTTCAGCATAAATATATTTTACTTGCACTGTGTTTTTTAGCTAAAAGTGAAAACCTAGATTAAATAAAATCAAAGTTGAGAAGAATCATCAAAAGACTGTTTCTCGGTGTGAATCAAGTGTTGAAAAATGGTTGGTGTATTTTGTCAGTAATTGTACATAACTTTTGGCACATGACATAGAAACGGCCATGTAAACTAGAATTATTTTGCTAAGAGACTGTATGCAAGCCTTGGGCCGACTTTACAGACGTCCAGAGCAAAGCCCCTTCTTTGTACCTATTTTTTTATTACAAATATACTAATTGGTTCTTTCTATTTTCAGAGGTTATTGTATGAAATTGTCTATTGATAGTACTTTTATGACTGTAAATACTCCGGCTTTCTCCGTGTGAATTCTCACATTAGACTTTAATTCAAGCGCGTGTGAACTGAACGCTGATCAGTATTTTTTATCAACACCTGAGAACTGTTACACCTTTTATTTTGTCTTTTAGGAAATCCCTGTCTTTCCATTTTTTCATGTAAATTTTGCACAGTTACTTGTTCATATGTAAATATTTTACTTTCAAAAATGAAGTTTTTAATTGCTATTGTTTTATATAGGATTGAAAGAAAATTAACTCCTTTATTAAAAACAAATTTATCTGTATTTGTTTTGCCTATTTTTCCCCAGTTTTCCAGTTTTAGATTCTGCTGCCAGATTGCACTCTGGCTGTGCTGAGGCACTGGTTTCTGAGCCACCTGTTGGAATCTGTAGCTGAGCCCCAGCAGAGCTGGGAGAAAGAACTTTCTCTGTGAGGACAGGGGCTGAGCCGCCCTGTGCGTGGAGTCCGGGGGCTGGAGACTGCGCTTACATCTTCTGCTCTCACAGGTGGAGATGAGCTGGGCACAGCTAGGAGGGGCGGGGGGAGGCCCAGCGCAGGGGGAGATGCACACAGAAACACAGCTGAGGTGCCCAGAGGGCCCCAGCCCTGACGTAGACCTCCTGTGGCGAGAGAAGGCGTCTCCAGGGCAGTTTGTGGTACAGGTTGGCCCTGACAGGTTGCAGCTCCTGCTGGGCCCTCAGAGACTCAGCGCCAATGTGTACCGCACCGCTCCCTGCCTTTGAGCACCTTGGAGAGCCTTTGGGAGCGGTCTCTGATGCGACTGGAGTCAGTCCCCCATCATGACATTCACTCCACCTGGTGTGACGGAGCCACAGCGATAATACAGGTTTACTTACAAGTGCTGCTGGAGACACTGCCGCTGTTCCCACACCTGTTGCACTGCCCCACTGGGGCTGCCGTGACAAAGGACCACGGATCGTCCCACAGCTCTGGGGGCCACAGGTGTCAGCAGGGTGGGTTTCTCCCCAGGCTCTGGGGAAGGGTCTGCTCTCCCAGCTTCTGGCAGCTGCTGGCACCTTTGGGTTCCTTGGCTTAGACACAGCTCCCAATCTCTGCCTTCGCCTTTCCGCAGCTTCTCCCTTGTGTGTGTCAGTCTCTGGGTCCAGCTTCCCCTCTCTGTAAGGACCCCCAGCCCTGTTGGATCAGGGCCCACCCAAACAACCTCATTCTGACTGGATTACCTGTGTAAAGACCCTAACTCCAGATAGAGTCCCATTCTGAGGACCGGGGGTAAGGAGTCCTCCATATCTTTTTTGAGGAGGAAACAGTTCACCCTGGACACTTGCGGCCACACTGAGTCTCAGCAGGAAGCACTGGTGGGCGCTCTCCAGCTTCCTACTGCAGGCTGTGCCAGGGTCGTTCCCTGATGGGGTCATGCCTGTGCTTTCCATCCATGACCCATACCTGCCTTTCACGAAGTTCTTGGCCTGAAATAAATGAGTTTAATCAGGTACAAAGGGTAGTTGCACTTGAATTTCTGCGAGGATGATTGATTTCATTCCAGCTCTTCTGCTCTTCATGTTGGTTCGGTCAGTCTGCGTGGGGCGGTCACGGGGACTCCCCTCAGCCAGGCACTGCCACAAGACCGGGTCCACAGGCGCGTTTGTTGTACTCTGTTCTTGAGATTCGTAGCTGCTGTTTCGCATCTCATCACAGGCTTGCTGGCTGCCGTCAGTCTCATCTGGGTGTTTGCACAGACCTGGGGCACGAGCAGCCTGATGTGAACATGACCGGGACGGCTGCTCTTGCTGCCTCCGCTCCCCACATACAGGCAGCTCCAGTTGGACAAAAAGGCAAGAAAAACAGGCACCAAGTATGGAGAGGAAGAAGGTGAACAAAAAATTTAGAGGTGACACGACTATATGTCTCGGAAGTCCAGACGAACCTACAAACACAACACTGAGCATGGTGCGTGAACTCCGAAAGAGGGCCGGAGGCAAGGCCGCTAGCTGGAGGCGTCTGTAGTTCCGTGTACTCGCAACCAACAACCAGCTTAAAAAGTGCCGTCAACAATAGCACAGAGAACACATGCCTAGGTATACACTGAATGAAAGATGTATGAGATCCTTACACTGGAACTGAGAAATCGAAGCCCTCAGCGGAGGCCAACACCACAGTGCTGGTGGGGAAGACTCACTGTTGCTGAAGACAGCAAGTGTGTCCAAACTGAGAAACAGAAGCACCGGCTCAACCAAATCCCAGCAGGATTTTCCTAGAAACTGACAATCTGATTCCACAAATGTATATAGAAATGCAGAGGACAGCCTAGGACAGAATGGAGCACTTGACTCTCCCACATTTCAAGACTTCCTCTGAAGTGACAGCAATCAGGACGGCGTGGTGCAAAGACAGGCGTGGCTGAAGGCCCTGGTGCAGTTCTGTGCCCTATGGGGGAACGTGAGCCTGGAGTCCATCTTCACACTGTACGTAAACATGAACTTGAGGTGGACAGAGACCTGGAAAGCATCAGAGGTCTTCATGACTGGGAGTGGGAAAGGATTTCTAAGGACGTAGAAGGCACAAATCCTGAAGAAGAATGGATAAATTGGGCCTCAAAGCTACAGCCTTTTGCTCATCAAGATGCCCTTGGAGGTTGGTCAGCGTTTAGTTCAAGGTCAGAGTGGAACCTTTGCTTTTTGGCAATCGCCTGTTATGGTCCGTGGTACAGGATGTGGTACGGGATGTGGATGGGACATGATATGGGACATGGTATGGGACGTTGTACGGGAGGCACAGGAGATTTTCTTTAGACTGGCTTATTCGCCACACTTATGAATTCCACAATCTATCATTTAGATTTCATGAACACAGTGGGAAAAAAGTGTATTCAATTTTTACTCTATGAAATACATTATTTCTGAAAAAGTTTAGATACTCATCTGTATTTTTTTCTTTATTGTTTTGCTCTATTACTGAGAAAAAATAAAATGGAAAGTAAATTTCTCTTTAGAATGTTAAAAAAGGTATATAAAATAAAAAGGCAAGCCACAGACTTGGAGAAATATTTGCAATATTTATACATGACAAAGGAATAAAGAATTCCACAACTCAGTGATAAAAAGACAATACAAGAACAAATGTGCAAGACACTTGAACAGGTGCTTTAGAAAAGATATACAAGTGGTGAATAAGCAACTGAAAAGGTGCTCACCATTACTGGTCATCAGAGAAATGCAAATAGAGACCACAGTGAGGCTCCACTGTGTGCCCACCCTCAGGGCTTGAATCTGAACGACTGCCATCCAGTGGTGGCGTGGTGCGTGACACAGGAAGCCAAATGTGTGTGTATCCAATGTGTGACACAGGAAGCCAAATGCATGTGTATCCAGTGCGTGACACAGGAAGCTGAATGCACGTCTACCCGGTGTGTGACACAGTGACGAAGCTGAGTGTGCATCTGTCCTGTGACCAGCAGTTCCACTCCTAAGCATCTACTTGAGCATGAGTTCCTTTGTCCACCAAAAAGTCATATAAGAATGTTCACAGTGGCTGTATTCATTGATGCTTAAGATGGAAGCAGCCCAAATGCCCATCAGCAGGTGAATGGAGAGTCAAATGGAGGCATATTTAGTCAGTGAAACGTCTCCCAGGAATAACAAGGAACGAACTCCTGATGTGCTCAATGATGTAGCTGAATCTCAGAAGAACTACGCTGACTGGAAGAGGCCAGACACAGAAGCCTGTGCATTCTGATTCCACCTGATGGAAGCTCACGTGTGGGTAGAAGCAGGGCGTGGGCCTCCGGTGAGGAGACGGTCAGGAAGAGGTGCCAGGGCCCTCTGGGGTGATGAAAATGTTCTGATTCGATCATCATAGGGGTCGCACAGGTGCATGCCAATGTGAAATGCTAAGCTGACAGGTAAGATCTGTGTATTTCAGCCAATGTAAGGGCACTTCAGTTAAGCACCGGGAAAGGCTTGGGCCCCACCCAGGTGGGTCACCTGGCCCCGCACTAGGGATCTGCCACTAAAGGACTCAGGCATGTAAATGGCCCCGATGGTGGGCTAAGTGCCCAAGAAGTTGTCATCGTTTTTCGAATGCTGCTCTGACTACAAATCTGGTGGTTCTCCACAG